TTGCCTTTCTACCAAAGTCCATGTTTGACTCTGACTCTTCTATCAAGCAGCACTAAGCACATCTGCCCTTCACACAAATCTCTATATGTCTGACACACTTCTGAGACCGCCCTGAGGTTGACCGCTTTTTCTTCCGAGTCTTTGCTCTACTTTCTCATCTTCTTAAACTATGCTCGCTCCGCCCTATTTTTTGAAACTCCGCTTCGACTAAATCTTTCTCCAAGTCAGAATGGCCTCGTCCGCTCTCTTTTTCGAACCCACCTTGGTCTAACTCTATTTCAAACCTGCATTGGACACATCCGTCCTCTTTTTCCGAGAAACCGCTCCGTTTGACATAATTTCTAGTTAGCAATGTTGTCGTCTGGGATCATTTCCGCGCCCTTGCTCCGTCGGACTCATTCCTAAGACCCTACTATGACTGCCTTATCTTGTCCCCAAGTCGCCTGCTGTTATTGCTCGTCGTTAACTGTCAATCCAAGTTAACACTATGCACGATTGGCCTTTTCCAGAGAAGAAATGGGCTCGACCACCTTATTCGAGCCCCAATTAGCCTGACCCTTTTCCAAGGCCACCCCCTGCTCGTCTAGCGTACAACTAGCGCCCTCGCTTTTATGTACCGTTATTCCCAGTCAGCACTGCGTTTGCCTAAGCGTTTTTCCGCACCCTCACTCCGACTGAGCCCCTTACAAAGCAGCACTGGGCTCCTTCGCCAATTTTTTCGAGTCTGCACTGCTTGAATCTTTTGCTAGGCTTCCCAATGTTCAACTGGCTACAATCTAGGCAACCGCTACGTCTGCCGTTTTTTCCATTCAGCACAACGCATCTGCACTCTTTTCTGCGGACTCGGACACGGACATAGCCCTGTGCTCGTCTACCCTTCTGAACGCAACCCCCCGCTCGTCCGTCCATTTTCACCCAGCCCTCAGCTTGTGTGCCCTTTTAGACATGGCGCTCTATGCGTCCGTCCTATTTCATACAGCCCTCCGCTCGTCCGCCCTATTTCACCCAGCCCTTGGCTCGTCTGCCCTTGAGGATGCAGCTATCTGCTCGTCCGTCCTATTTCACACAGCCCTCCACTCGTGTGCCCTATTTCACCCAGCCCTCTGCCCGTCCGTCTTATTTCGACGTCTCCCCCTCGCCGACTGTCTAATTTTGACGTAGCCCTCGGCTCGCAAGCCCTTTTAGACGCAGCCCTTCGCGCGTTCGCCTTATTTCACACGGCCCTTCACCCGTCCGTCTCATTTTACTCTGCCCTCCGCTCGTCTGCCCTATTTCATCAAGCCCACAGCTCGTTTGCCCTTTCCGACATAGCCCTCCACTCGTCCGTTCTATTGCGACCCGCCCTCAGCTGGTCCGTCACATTCCGACGTAGCCCCCAGCTCGTCTACCCTTTTCGACGTAACCCTCTGCTCGTCTGCCTTTCATGACGCTGCCCTCTGCCCGTTCGTCTTATTTCGATGTCTCCCTTTCACCGTCCGTCTAATTTCGACGTAGCCCTCCGCTCGTCCGTCTTATTACCACGAATACCTCCCACCGTCTGTCTAATGTCGACGCAGCCCTCTGCTCGTCTGCCTTATATGACGCAGCCCTCCGCCCGTCTGCCCCATTTTACACAGCCCTCTGCTCGTCCGTCCTGTTTTAACATAGCCCTCTGATCGTCTGCCCTTTTGGATGCAGCCCTCCGCTCGTCCGTCTTATTTCACCTTGACTCCCGCTCGTCCGCCCTATTCCGCCCAGCCCCCAGCTCGTCTGCCCTTTTCGACGTAGCCCTCTGCTCGTCTGCCTCTCATGACGCTGCCCTCTCCCCGTCCGCCTTATTTCGACGTCTCCCTTTCGCCGTCCGTCTAATTTCGACGAATCCCTACCACCGTCCGTCTAAATTCGACGCAGCCCTCTGCTCGTCTGCCCTTCATGACGCAGCCCTCCGCTCGTCCATTCTATTACGACCCGCCCTCAGCTGGTCCGTCACATTCCGACCTAGCCCCTAGCTCGTCCGCCCTATTCCGCCCAGCTCCCAGCTCGTCTGCCCTTTTCGACGTAGCCCTCTGCTCGTCTGCCTTTGATGACGCTGCCTCTGATCGTCCGTCTTATTTGAATGTCTCCCTTTCACCGTCCGTCTACTTTCTACGCAGCCCTCTGCTCGTCTGCCCTTTTGGACGCAGCCCTCCGCCCGTCTTCCCCATTTTACACAGCCCTCCGCTCATCAGTCTTGTTTTAACATAGCCCTCTCATCGTCTGCCCTTTCAGACGCAGCCCTCCACTCGTTCGTCATATTGTGACCTAGGTTTCTGCACTTCTGCTCTACATCACAGAACCCTCCGCTCGGCCGTCCTATTCTGACGTAGCCTTCTGCCCGTCTGCCCTTCTAGACGCAGCCCTTCGTTTGTCTACACTTTTTAACGTTGCCCTCGCTAATCTGCCTTTTTACAGATCCGCACTGGACTCATACCCCTTTATCGTAGCAACACTAGGCTCATCCGCTCCTTTTTAGAGCAGCACTGGGCTCGTCCGCCCTCATCAGATCACCGCTCGGCTCCTTTAACTTTTCCCGAACAGCACTGGGCTCGTCTGCTATCTTCCCAGCGCCGTTGCTTCGCTTGTCATATTTTCAGTCATCACTGCGCTCATCTGCTCTGCTTAATCAAGTCCCAGCTTCCTCCTGCCTATTTCTAAGGCCGCGCCGTGCTCGTCTTCTTTTCCTCCCCGAGCCTCTGCTATGTGTGACCTTTTTCTCAGAGCAGCTTAGCACACGTCTGCCCTCTTCGCCTAAACCTCGGCGTCATCAGAATTTTTACTTGAGCCCCGCTTCGTTCGCAGCTTTTCTGAGTCCACACTGTGTTTTATTATGATCATGGAAGAGCAAAAATCTTATGACCGTCGATTTCGGCTCTAAAAAATTTTGAAAGCATCGTGTTCAGGGTCCGAAAAATCGGTTTATCTGTAAAAAACTAGCTTATTAGTGAAAGAGAAAAAACAATGGCTTCAAAGTATACTGCCTGAAAAGTAAGTTTTAGTAACGTGTGTTTAAATATGTAGTCTACGTAGATAATTTTTAAATTCATTTTTTATTTACAGAAAAATTTTAGATCTTGAAAGTGATACCGGATGTCCTCCGTTAATAGAATTATCAAACCCATTAAGATCGTTGTGCATATTTCATTGTAAAAAAGATACTGATTTCGTTTGTACTGTTATAAATATACGAAAATTGTATAGTTGCATTAAGAAGAAAGAAAAACAAGCTGAAACATGAGGAATCAACATAATAGATTCATTTGAAGATGGTTATAAATTTTCATAAGAATTCATTTGCATATTTTGAAATAGCTGTTACCAGCGTGAATAAAGAATAGAGATAATAATATCTCGTATAAAGAATAAAAAATATCAACAGAGTGTTTTCTACTTTATGTATAATTAAAAAGTTTTTTTTTTTTTTTTTTTTTTAAACGTCGCTTTATTTATGCTCCATTTTTGTGCTAATCAACGACGGAGGTTTGCGATGTATTGGGGAATAAAGCACATGAAATTAAATTCAGTGGTGCTCGATTCAATCGGCAGAGATGGGGAATCGAACCCGAGTCCTACGCGTTGCGAGCCCTTCGCTCTACCGACCGAGCCATCGCAGACCTCAATTAAAAAGTTAATATATTAAAGGCTATTAATTTCATTGTTTACATGCTATTAATTTTATGGTTTATATGCAATTAATTTCATGATCTAGATTCTATTAATTTCATTGTCTACTTATATAATTAAAAAAATTAATAAAATTAAATAGATAATTGCTAGAAATTAGAATGTTTACTTGCTACAAATAAATATATCCTAGGGAGGTAGGAGAAGGTAAAGTGGAAGAGTCGATGGGCGGGTGGAAAAGCGTAGGAAAATGCTACTTCCCAAGCTAAGTGCAGGTGAGGCACTGAACTCTTTCTTTCGATATAAGCTTGACGCTCGCCCTAGCAACCATACCCCATCCATACGCATCTCAAGCTAGAAAGAGAGAAAGAGATACGCTGAACCAACATATAGCTTAGCGAGCGCACTTCAAGCTAGTAACGCTACCCCTCTTCGAGAACCCATGCCGGAAAGCTATAAAGACGTCAAGCCAGGATATACGAGATGTGTTCAAAAAGTACCCGGAATTATCGTTTTTCTCAAAAAATATTTATTTATTCGTTTACATCAATGTGGTCCCCTTCAAAGTAATCCCCCCCAGATATAATACACTTATGCCAGCGTTTTTTCCAATCTCCGAAGCACTCTTGATATTCACTTTTTGGTATGTCCTTGAGCACTCTCAGCGATTCGGCCTTTATTTCTTCAATCGTGGAAAAACGTCGTCCTTTCATGGGTCTCTTCAACTTTGGGAACAGGAAAAAGTCACACGGAGCCATATCTGGTGAATATGGAGGTTGGGGCACGACTACGGTATTATTTTTGGCCAAAAAATTACGAACAAGCAACGACGAGTGAGCAGGTGCGTTATCGTGATGCAAAAGTCATGAATTGAATCAGTGTTCAGTGAGCTATTGCCTGAGCTGGACGTGTTTAGTCTGTGCTCTGGTTTGTGTCTGGCTTAAGCCATTTTGTTATTTCTGACTCAGTTTAATCTTTAAAATTTCTCTCTATTTATGATATCTATTTCGTTTAATGGTCTAATTATTAATCAATTGTTGTTTAACCGTGCTTGTGACTGTGACTTTTATTAAATAGCGTGCCGAACTGTTGTACCTGGTACATTATTATGTCGGAAAATAAATGTTTTTCCTGCCCATCTAAGGGCCCGATTAATGTGAATGACGCGGTGCATTGTCCGGGATGCAGATCGCTCTTCCATAAGAGTTGTGCGAGTAAGGCCGTAAAGCTTTCTAACGGCTCTTTTAAAAAATGCTGTGGCGGTTTGGATGTTCTGACCAGAGCATCAGTGGCATCGGTGTCATCTGTTGACACTATACTTACCAGATTAGTAGCTAATCCGTCTTGGCCTAAGTCTCTAAATGGCTCTCAGTCAAATCAGCCTGCTTCGTGCAGCTCTTGGGATGATGTCCGTGATTACTTTGAAGGCAAATTGGAGGGCATGTTTGGTCTGCTCACGGAAAGATGTAATGGTCTGCAGCGTGCTGCAGACAGCTTGATTGCTCGGTCGGATGCCATGGAGGCCTAAATTGTTTTGATGCGGCAGGAGTTATCATCGATCCCTATTCAGACTGCCCGCATTGATGTTATTGAGGATAGAGTCTCTGCGGTGGAGAGTAGACTCGATGACTCTTCTTCCAGGATCGATGACGCCACTCTTGCTGAAATGTATGAGCAGAGAAGAAGAGAGCATAATTGTATTCTCTACAATTTCCCGGAGAATATCTCTTCGTCACAGGATACAATGGCTTTGTCAGCGCTTCTTGTTGGCGTGAAGTTTGACACCTCTGGTATGGCTACCTTGCGCCTTGGAAAGAAGGTCGTTCATAGAATTAGACCATTAAAGATTGTCCTTCGTTCTGCTGCTGACGCCCAATGGATCATGCGGCACTCTCCGGATATTTTTAAATCAGTTCCTGGCGTGAAGTGCGGACCTGATCGTACCATGCACCAGCGACAGCAGTTACGGGAGACACTTGCTGAGATTGATACCAGAACGCGGGCGGGAGAAAATGATCTTAAACTTAAGTTTATTAATGACATCCCCAGTATTTCATCGTCAAAAAACGCGTAGATGCAGCCAGGATTTCAGAACAACTGTCTATTTACTACCAAAATATCGGCAGCATCAAATCATCAATTACCTGCTTTGTTCATAACGTGATTACTTGTGCACAGAAATTTAACATTATTGCCCTGACCGAATCTTGGTTGGATGACACTGTGGAGGATGCTTTGCTGAGGATTCCAGGCTATTCGCTCGTGAGACTGGATCGTTGTAACATTCGGAGTGGCAAGTCGAGAGGAGGTGGAATTCTCGTTTGGCTGGAGGATGCATGCTCTTTTCAATCTCTTCAAGTCGTCAACTTTAACTTGGAGCATGTCATTCTTAAGCTTGATTACGGAGCACCCATCATTTTGTCTGTTGCCTATTTGCCACCTGTTTCTTCTCTCTCAGCTGCGACTTTCGAATCATCTATGGACTCCTATTGTTGTTCCTTGGAGGAGTCAGCTGCCAGATTTCCGGGGTCTGCCGTTCTTGTTATTGGTGATTTTAATCTGCCTCGTTGCTCGTGGACTGCTGTTGATGGTGTGCTTTCGGCTGATGCTACTGTGAGTGGGGCCATTCGTAATTCAGCATTACGATTACAGGATTGTATGGGCTCTCTTAAGTGTGTTCAGCTCGTCCAGTCTCGGAATAGTTCGGGAAATACTCTTGACTTGACCTTTTGCAGTATTCCGGTGTTTCTTTGTGCATCAGTGGATCCGCTTGCTCCGTCCGACAGATACCATGAGCCTTTGGTCATTGCTGTCAACGTCGTTGTAACCACTTCGACTGATTCTTTACCTCATAGTGCTCTTACCTCCTTCAATTTCAAAAGGGCCAACTATAGTGATATTAATTCATCTCTGGTATCTACTGATTGGGATGATCTTTTTGATGGCCACCAGCATGATGTCGACATGGTGGTTGATGGTTTCTACAGAAAGTTGTCGGAAATTATTGGCTGCAATGTACCTCTAATGGGCTCTTTTGTTGCTAAATTCCCGAATTGGATGTCTGCGGAATTGAGATCTGCAGTCTCTCAGAAGAAGTTGGCCCATCGGACATTTAAGGCTACGGGGGATGGTGGTGCACTGCATGACTTCAGGATCTTCAGGACGGCTTGTAAGCGCCTTGCGTTACGTGATTATGGCCTGTTTATTGAAGGCGTTGAAGAGTCGTTGCAATCTGATCCGGGAGAATTTTGGAAGTTTGCAAATTGTAAGGATGGTCGCTCTGGTTATCCTGATAATATGTATTTTAATGATGTTGCTGCTCATCATGGCCAGGATATTGTTAACTTATTTGCGGATCGATTCTCATCGGTCTTTTCTGCGGCCTCTCTTCGGGATGGCCTTAACGGGCTTTCCTTCGACTCACATGCGCTGTCAGAAATTTTGTTCGTGCTCGAAGATGTGAAGCTTGGTCTTGTAGGCCTTAAACCTTCATCCGCGGCTGGGCCTGATGGAATTCCGTCGACTTTCTTTATTAATTGTGCTCATAATTTAGCTCAACTGATTCTTTATATTATGAATTTATCTTTACGTACAGGTACCTTTCCATCGGCCTGGAAACAGGCTTATGTTATTCCAATGTACAAGAAGCGTGGTGACAAAAGAGATATTTGTAGTTACCGTCCGATAGCCAAGCTGAATGTCCTCTCCAAGTTGTTCGATCGTCTGGTGTCCATCAAACTGTCACCCTTCCTTCTTCGCTCTATAAATGTCTCCCAGCATAGTTTTGTTCCCCACCGTTCCACAGTCACTAACCTCGCAGAGTTCGTAGAATTTGTTACTGATGCTTTTGATCAGGATCATCAAGTGGATGCTATTTATACTGATCTCACTAGCGCCTTTGATTGTGTCAATCATCAACTATTAGTAGCTAAATTATCATTTTATGGTGTTCATGGTCCTTTCCTCTCCTGGTGTTTCTCTTATTTATCCCATAGATCATACTCCGTAAAACTTCAAAAGTTTGTCTCTTCACCGTACTTGGCTGCTTCTGGGGTGCCACAGGGCTCGCACCTTGGTCCTCTATTTTTTATTATTTTTGTAAATGATGCTTTCTCAGTTATTAAGTCCTCTTATATCTCCTTCTATGCCGACGATGCGAAAATATTTAAAGTTATCTCCTCCGATAAAGATGCTTATGAATTACAGTTGGATCTGGATAGATTTTGTGATTGGTGCTCATTAAATGGGCTCTTATTGAATATAGATAAATGTGCAGCTCTGTCGTTCTCTCGTAGTAAAGCGCCATACATTCATAACTATTCTTTCCTTGATGTTGTTATTGGTAGGGTTATTGAGTTTAAGGATCTCGGTGTGTTGTTTGATGCTAGTCTTTCCTTCACTTCACACATCACTCAGTCATGTATTCTGGCATCTCGGGCATTATTTCTGTTGTTCAGACAATGTCGTGCATTCAAAAGACCAAGCTCTCTTATTGTACTCTATAATGCTAATATTCGCTCTCGTCTTACTTATGCGTCTGTTATCTGGGCGCCGTGTTTTGACTATCAATCTAAATCATTTGAAATTGTTCAGCATCGCTTCTTACGTTTTTTAGCTAATAAATTCGGCCCACGTATGGATGCCTTGTCTCATGATTACTCTGCCGTGGCACGCTCATTTCATATTTGCACTATCACTTCGTTCATCAATTATCAATCAGCATTATTTATTTATAAAATTTGTCATAACATTATCAATTCGATGGCCCTTTCTAATCGCATTCTCTATACGGTGCCCCCGCGTATTCTTCGAGCCCGTCATCACACCTTTTTTATACGTCCCCATAAACGTAATCTTAATTATTTGTCTGTTATTGATCGCTCATGTCATCTCATCAATAACTTATCACCTCCACTGGACGTGCACGCAGTTTGTATTGGCGTATTTAAAAAGTTTGTTCGGGAGGACATGGCGGAGTTTCGCTAGTTTGTTTCTTTTGTCACGCGTCTTGTGGTTTTTCGTTTGTCCGTTGCATTTTGTTTTTTTATTTTGGCTGCCTTTTTCCTTCTTTTTTTTAATCGTATTTTAAATAAATTTTTATTTTAATTATTGTTTTTATCGACTTCTATTTTTCTTATACTGTTTATATCTTTTATGCATTGTATTTTGATTTATTTATATTTATTATGTATTTATTTTGTATCTTTATTATTTGTTATGTTTTGATATGGGTTTTTACCCGTTTAATAAATGAAAAAAAAAAAAAAAAAAAAAAAAAAATTGTTTTTCCATAAATCGGGGCGTTTTTTTGGATTGCTTCACGCAAACGTCGCATAACTTCAAGGTAATACTCCTTATTAACCGTACGACCTTGTGATAAGAACTCATGATGCACCACGCCCCTGCAGTCAAAGAAAACTGTAAGCAAAACCTTCACATTTGATCGAACTTGACGTGCTTTTTTCGCTCTTGGTGACGTTGAATGCTTCCAGCTGCACGATTGTGCTTTGGTTTCGATATCATAACCGTACATCCATGTTTCATCACCAGTTATAACCCTTTCAAGCAAACTTGGATCGTCGTTGACGTCGTTTAACAGCTCCTGAGCGATGTTCATGCGATTGTTTTTTTGGTTAAAGTTCAGAAGTTTTGGAATGAATTTTGCTACCACCGGTTTCATGCCCAAAATATTTGAAAAAATGTTATGACATGAGCCAATTGATATGCCAACTTCATCAGCATCTTCTCTAATTGTGATTCGACGATCATTCAGAACCATTTTTTCCACTTTTTTCACATTTTCATCGATTGTTGACGTGCTGGGTCGACCGGAGTGTTCGTCATCTTCAACGTCTTCGCGGCCATCTTGGAAACGCTTATACCACTCGTAAACACTTGTTTTTTTTATAGCAGACTCGCCATAGGCTTTTTGTAACATTTCACACACTTTGTTACACTTTATTTCATTTTTTACGCAAAATTTAATAGAAATTCTTTGATCCATTTCTTTTAAAAAACGAAAATCGCCGAGGTCATAAAAACACGTCAAACCTTAGCGACTACCGCAGACAAAGTAAACAGTGAATATAGCTGAAAATTTTATCATACTTCAGGGGCATGTACACCAACACAATAAAAAAAAATTTTGACAATCGGACTCTCCAGACTCGCGAAATTTGAAAATTCCGGGTATTTTTTGAACACACCTCGTACGCTATTAGTAATGTTCGATTATACTCGATTAATCGTAAGCATTCGATTATTTAGAAGACTATTCGATCATTCTAAAACTCGATTATTACAGATTCGATTATTTTTTGACCAATAACACAGTCCGACAAGATTTTTGCACAAGCAAACCATACATGGTTCCCCGTAGAATTTTTGGCGCTGAAACCGAATCCGGCCTCAGAATTTGTTCAACACGTCATGATTTTGAGATATCCTAACCTAAAAGTGCGAAAATAGCGATTTTTGCCTATATTTGAGGTTATGTAGCACTACGACATTCTCTATACACAAAAAACTATAAACGACATCTTAAAATAGCATCCTAGTCCTTTTAAATACCGTTGAGTTTGCTCAAATAGCTTATTTTTTCTTTGAGATATTATATTTTAAAGTTTTTCGATTTCATGAATATTGAACCTTTCAGAACATATAGCTTTGAACGTTTCGACGTCGAATTTTGTGTCAAGCGTCTTCAATCAATTACTGTTCTACAACAAAATTAAGATATATACCATGGACAGGCTAACCTACCTTTAACCTAAATTATATCAATCCCACAAATCTTTACAACCCTTAAAAACCATCCCTGCCAACCTTCAAACAGGCTAACCTATCTACGATAAATCTGGGTAGAGCGAGTTTAATCGACTGCTTTTCTATGAGCAACCTAAGATCTCAACCACAGATAGGCTTATCTGTTTTCTTCTTGACGTACTCTATCTCCAGATACCCTTACAACCCTCATAAACCGCCCTACCAACCCCCAAGCAGGCTAACGTACCTAAGGCTGGTTAAAACGAGTTTATTTAATTGCTTTTCTATGAGAAACGTAAAATCTCAACCAGATAGGCTTACCTGTTGTCTCCTTGATGTACTCTATCCTCAGAAAATCCTACAACCCTCAGAAATCCCCTCTACCAACCCCCAAGCAAATTAACCCACCTAACCCTTGGTAGAGCGAGTTTAATCAACTGCTTTTCTGTAAAAAAATGAATATCTCATTGACATTGTCTCTGATATACCCCTCCTCAGGTAGGAGTGCTTTATAAAGGCTGTAAGGGTTCGTGGGGCTGACGTAATTTAGGTTGAAGTTGGGTTAGCCTGTCCAAGGTATATATTTTAATTTTGTTGTAGAACAGTAATTGATTGAAGACGCTTGACACAAAATTCGACGTCGAAACGTTCAAAGCTATATGTTCTGAAAGCTTCAATATTCATGAAAGAAAAGACTTTGAAATTTAATATCTCAAAGAAAAAATAAGCAAGCTGAGCAAACTCAACGGCATTTAAAAGGACTAGACTGCTTCTTTAATATGTCGTTTGTAGTTTTTTACGTGTAGATAATGTCGTGGTGCTACATAACCTCAAATATAGGTAAAAATCGCTATTTTCACACATTTAGATTAGGATATCTCAAAATCCTGACGTGCTGGAGCAATTCTGAGGCCGGATTTGGTTTCAGCGCCAAAAATTCTTTGGAAAAACATATATGGTTTGCTTCTGCAAAAAATTAAGGTATTTTTGTAGGACTGTGTAATCAACTCGATCTGCGCTGTGTATTATTTGTGCTTTGTGCATGCGTGAATATTACACTCTAATGTGCAACTAGAACAGAAATTTGTGACGGTTAATTTAATAACTTAATTTATTTCATTAGAACGTGAGATAAGAGTGAGACATGAGCACGTGAGTTAAGGTACAACAGGTAAAATGGAAAATAATGATGTTTTCAACCCATCCGCCGAAGGCAGACAATGTGACGATGTGAGGTTACATTGTCTCTTATGTACAGTTTACATACGTACTACATTTAAGTTTCGAAATTGTATTGTTGTAGTATGTTATAGTAGGTTAATATACATTTATATTCAAGAAAATTAAAAATAACCTTTAACTAAATATTTCTGTAATTGCAGAAGAACCTAGAAATATGTCTGTATGGTTTAAAATAAATAATTATTCTGATGTCAAAGTTGATGACATATTCACTGGTCACTATCCAGGATAAAAAATATTTTGGAATATTTTCGTATTGTAACACGTTTCATTTCTTAACTCGGTTTGCAATTCGTTCTTTGAGTTCATAGCCCAAAATAACGTCGCACTACTAATTGTTAAATAAAAGGGGAAGTACGGAAGGCGCATTCGCTTCGCCGCGAAAGGCATCGATGGGCTTTCGTCGTTCGGCGGTTCGGATGCTGTAATTGAAAGACAGGAAAGACGCAGGAATAATTCAACTCATCTAACGTTAACAGTCTTATTTATTGATCGTACGAGGCTATATGTGACTTCACATCAAAAAGAAGGCCATGTGAGCCTGTCTCTCTGTGAGTGAACGCAGTGAAGACAAAGCTTCGCCTCACACTCACCCGTCCCATTGTTTGGCAGATTTGGTGCGGGTTAATGCACGCACTTACCTGTCCACGTCCCGATGATTTATCCGAGAGAGAGAAAGAGAGAAAGGAAATCGAGGGGCGTACCGATAATATAAAGGTGTACCTGACCTAGGAAAGGGGAGTCGTCGGGAATCCGACGATCAGCTTCAGCCGGCGTCGCTCCGCCGCTCCTCGAAGTCCCTCTTGCTGAAATGGCTCGTGCTCTTGGACTTTCAGGAGAGTCCAGAAAGGGCTGGTTGCCTCCCGTAGTCCTTTTGCTGCTTCTCGTCGTCAAAGAAAGGCCGATGATTGCTTTGCTCACTTTCTCTCTTAATTTCTACTCTTTTCTGTCGCTCGCGACGCTGGTTAGGCCAGTACTGCCTGGGCTCTCTCAATCCTCGTGGCATCCCCCGCCACTTCCATCAGCACATAAAATCGACCGAGCGCCGCCGGCTACGCACATACGTGCGAGTCACGACGGCGACACTATTTCTCTCTCTATATATATCTCTACCCTTTCCTCACACGGCTCCAACCACCGACGCTGATTAGGAACCGAACCTAAATAAAGCCATATCAAGCATCGATACTTGGTCCGGAACATAAAGACATCGATGTGGCAGAGGCAAAGGGAAGGGCAGGCGGAAGAGAGAGAGAGGCAAACAGGACGAGCAATCTCAACGATTGCCTTACCCGTCACAACCCCTCCCAAGTCCAACGATACCCCAAAGATCATCGGTGGACGACCACCTCGATCTCTCTTCCTGCACCACCGCCAGACGTCCTGGGACTCATTGGAACAAAGAAGGGAAGCACAAGGAATGGACAATATTCGCACATTTATAACGCATTAAAGTCTTTAAACCTGCACATTAGCTCTACTTACCGTCTAATGTTCTACGTCCGGGGTATTTGAAATATAGCGTAGCAACGAAAAATGTCGCAGCCGTATTATCCTGACATATTCAGCCGACGTAGGATGGCCAGGATCAACTACGCCGGCCAACCTAGTCAGTTCCTCGGCCTGTCCGTCCGTCCACAAGTCCTCGGCAGTCGAACCCAGAAGCTCCAGAGAAGAGCGAGAGGGCTCAATGGAAGCGTAGGGCACCAACAGAGTGACCTCCACATCAGGTTGGAGAGTGCCAGACTCTTGCTGGTCAGGTGCACCTCTTTCGTCCGCCATGTCCTAGCCAGCCCTCTGTGCATCCAAAGCCTTTCTCGCCTCCATCCTCTCTCTTCGCAGACAGCCTTTGCTTTTTCTTTCGAGGCTCGGCCACAACCTCGTCCCTAACGGAGTACTCAACCAGGTTTCCGTTGCCCCGTCCGTGGTTCGTCTCTCAGGAGCCCCCTGAACCTGATCCGCCCCTGCCCGGCCCGCAAGTACCTCGCGTAAGTTGGCGCACAACTCGCACATTGGTCCACCACCACATCATACCGCCCACAATTTCGGCAATATTTTCGCGAATTCACGAGCTCCGGACACTTGGAACGGCGATGGACTCCGATCCTACAATTGAAGCAGGAATACGGCCGAACGTCCAATATCGCGTCAAAGGGCACAGGCTCCAAGCCGTTCAAGAAGGTTCCTGTGAACCGGGCACCCTCAGAACCTATTTTACCGCCACATACGACCAGGGCCGATGCGGGGGAGGCATGCTGCAGCGGAGGCTGCAAGTTGCCTCTCTCTAAGCCCGGCACTACCATTCGATCCTTTCCAGGTCTGGTCTGACGCAAGTCCGGCTGACATGGGAGCGTCCGTGGAGACGGCTTCTCCACGTCCCTCTCTCACGCCAGCTGTCTATGGTTGGGAAATATTTCCAACACAGGTTGGGCGCCGTCGGTCTCCCGGACCCACTTTCCGTCCCAGAGCATCAACCGGGGCGCGTCTACTACTGACACCCGTAAGGCCAGATCACTGGCCTCCGAGGCAGGCGAAACCGAGACTCCCGGGTGACTATCACCCCTAATGGCCGTTGCCTTCGCTCCTCCTGGGCGAGAAGGTGAGGCTCGCATCTCTCGGGAACGAAAACAGGTCCGTCCGTGAGCCCAGCTTATCTCCAAGCGGAGCGGGCGTCTTCCCAAGGCAAGCACCTCTGCTAACGTCTCATGGAGAGAAGGGTGCGAATTGACACTCACGCTCTCTCCTTCTGACCCTCGGGGAAGGCTGTCGGACTCGGTCCCGCTCGTTGTCGATCTCTCGTACTCCGCTCGGTCCACATTATTCAAGGGAGAGACCCAATTACTAGGAGCAAAATCGGGGCCTCTACTTTCCCTCTTCCTCTTCTTACTGGTACCTTTGCGCTTCTCGGCAGTTCTTCGACACTCGTCTTCGAGGTAACCGGCAGGCGGTATGTTCAACGGGGCTGTAATTCTGTGGAAACTGTATCTAGGGTCCATATTCTGTAGTTCCACAGGCACCCACTCCAAAGCCTCGTGGTTATGCTCCTTAGGTCTCACCACCGCTACCGCTCTGGCCGGAGACTTCCCACTCTTCGGCGAGGTCATTTCAACCACCTCGAGCAGTCCACTTGTAAATCCCTTGACTGATGGTCCCTCTAATGAGGTGGCTGACGGAAACTCGATCAGTTCCGCATAGCCTTCGGAGACCGAAGCGAGTACGGATTCACGCACCTTCGCTTCATTCTCCGGCTCATGCGGTTGCTCCGGTGGGCTCCGCAGCAGGAGCTTCTCCAGCTCCATCTCTGCAGCTCCAATATCTACTACCAAACCAGCGGCTTCTTTTTCCTCCACCTTTGCCTCTTCATTAGGGAGTCCGGGGCCACGCTAAGAACCATAAACACCGAAAGCTCCGCGACCATAGCTACCGCCCGCCTAAGCACCCGGGTGACCCGCATCTCCTGAGTCCCTGGAGGGGTTGCAGCCTCAGGCGTGCGCTTTGTGTCGCACCGCTTCGGCAGGTCTCCCCACCTTCACCTCCTGTGGTAACGGGAAGCGATTACTCGGGTTGAGCCTCTGGTGCAGAGGGCTCTGCCATGCTTGCCTCCGTTTGCATAGGTTCTGGGGTCGTAGGTCTGTCCGTGTTTAGTGGGAGCTCGCTAATGACGCCAATCTCGGCAGTCATAGCTGCCAACTCCGCTATCTCCTCCTCCATCTGCAAATTTTAATGTACATCAGTATTATTATCAAATCAAAATAAAATAATGGAAAAAAACAACATAGATAACGCCTCTCTCCGAAGTCCATTCGTTAAGATTTTAATATTCAATGAACCTACCATCAATTGGCCGTCGGTTACCGATCGCTACCCACACCGCATAACAAAACGTAGCCTTTTAAGTCCTTCACGTGGACCATTGGTAGCTAATGATCTGTTTCTAATTCGTATATTACGTCCGGAACCTTTCGAATTATCTTATATAGGCCCGCATACTCCAGATCGAATTACGCATTCCTACCCGCCACCGCGTTTGACAACGAATACCTTCTTCTCCATACTAAATCGCCCACGTCAAAGATTACATATCTCCTTCTCTTATCATATTCCTTTTTCTGTCTTTCGTAAGGCTGCTCTATATGATGGCCTACCAGGTCCGGCAGTACGTTCAGCCTTTGCAACCGGTCTTGCCAAATCTCCGGCTTAATTTTTAGTACAGGAACACGTCCCTCTACCTCCCTCCTTCTCACCGGCTTAGGATTTCTACCGAAATTCAAAAACTTAGGGGAAACCTTTGAAGAGGCCTGACACGCGGTATTAATCACGTGTCTGAACTCATGAAGGTAGCGTTCCCAGGTCCGGTGGTCGTCGTCCACGAACATGGTAATCATCGTTTTGAAGGTCCGATTAACCCTTTCAACCGGGTTACTCTGTTGATGGTAAGGGGGGTAGAATACATGCTCGACACCATACTCCCGGAGCATATCCTGAAACACCTTACTTTTATAAGCTTTCGCGTTATCACTAACCAGGTATCCCGGCGTTTCCCATCGAAAAAGGATCAACTCGTCGAAAGCGCGCGCGAATGATTTTCCGTCCGCGGAGCTCAATGGTTTGAGCTTCACCCATTTTGTAAAAAGGTTCGGAAACACTATCATATCTCTGAATCGATTCTTGGTTTGCAGTAGCTCCACTATATCCGTTGCTTTTATTATTCATGGCCGCTCCACTGCGCGTCTTCCCATCAACCCTTTCGGTACTTTCTGTTCAATTTTATATCTCTGGAAACCTAACATTGATTAACAAAGCTTTACACGTCCTTAATTGTATCAAACTCTTCGACCACCGCCTCGTCCTCAAACTCCTTTTCTATGCACGATTTCGCAGTCAAGCTGTTGGAAATGCAGCACCAATCGCTCGAGTCATCCTATTAAGTCCCTCTTATTCAGCAATCTCGTCAGTGCGCTATGGTCGGTCACTATTACGAAGTGGAATCCTTCTATACATGGCCTACATTTTTGAACCGCGAATCGAACCGCCAAGAAGTTAATCTCACTCACCGTATATCGTCTCTCATGCGCGTTCAACATACGACTCGCATAGAAAATTGGATGCTCTCCGTCTTCGAATATCTGTACTAAGCATGCTCCCACCATCATACGATGAAATGACGCAATGTAAATAGAACGTCCGTCCGAAGTCCGGTCCTTCCGTGAGCGCTCTTCTTAGTTGTTCAAA